GTTGGTGAGGGAGGGACCCCCCCCCCCCCCCCCCCCATGAAAGTATATAGTCAGTGTCTACAAGAGATGTCTGCCTTTTGCAGTTTTCCTGCTTTGTAAATTGCTTGTTTTCACCAGTTTCTGCTACGTGAAACTCAAGAGAAGCCCAGAAAATTATCCAACCCTTAATTATAGTAGTGTAGATAAAACAAACTGATTTGAAACTCTTAGTGTTTAGGAGAGTCTGTATTTATGTCCTACTAGTGCACCTCTCTTCCCCCACCCGCTGCTCTTCCTAGCCCCCCTTTGCCCACAGCTAGGTACAGGCACCAGTGAAGTAGGAGTATCTCAGGGTTTCTAACTGATATCATTTGAGAAGGGGAATTTCTGCCTAACCCTTAAGTTTGCTCCTGCTGTTGTCTGGTATTTTGTAAGCTCTTCAGTGGGAAATGGTGTTGCTCTTTCTGTCCTGTTTCATTCTAATTGATTTGGCTCTTTTGAAATTGGAGAAGTTTGGTGGTTTAGGCCACATGACTTTCTTCCTTCAAATTCCAACAACAGAGCTTCAAAATAATTGTTGTGGTTTGTTTGCTGAACAGGGCTACTTTGTTATTTAAAATATTTTTTTTTTTAAATGAAACAGGCATTTTGGGAAAGCAGTACTTCCCATATAAACCAGCCAAATTCAGCTCTGACATAAGCTGATTTACTGCTTATTGATTTTCATAAGAGCAGCACCATTCACAAGAACCACATTCCTAGCCAGTTTAGAAGGGATAAGCTACTACTTGCAAGATAAAGCACCCATTATATGCAAACTTTACAGTCCCAAATCCAAACAGCCTGTAGGCCTTGGACTTTATATGTAATGTATAAACATTACATTAGATAATCCTTAATATGACAGGGTAAATGTGGCTTTGTGAACTTATCACAGTCATAGTCTGTATATTAAGACGACACTAATTAGTCTTGGAGGGAGTTACAGTATTTGAAATGAGTCCAGTCCTAACAGCATGCAGATATTGGACACTTAAGCTGAGCCTATTCCTGGTAGAGGACAGACTAGCCCTGTGATTCCTCCCTGTGATTCAAATTTCTCAATGTACAATTACAGTCGCCTCACTAGAATTATTGCCAAATAACACATGAGGTAGTAAGTGAATGTCCCTTTCTGAAGCTCAGGTTAATGGAAGATGCTGGAAATAAACTAAGCATACTTAATGTTTTTTCACATCCTAAAATGATGGGGGATTTGACCTTCTCTCTCTGTCAGTACTGGCTATAGGCAAGTTTTTAAGGTACAGTATTAATATCTTGTGATCATTTGTAACAAAGAAGATACTGTTTAATTCATTTGAAATAGATTAGATTGAGAGATCTTTTTTGAGGGGGGGGAAACTTTTTTGATAGGCTAACTGGAAATCAGTAAATGCTGTCTGAAAATGAGGACTCTGATTAGTGGTTGCTAGGGGAAACTATTCTAATATCCATTTAAAAAATTTAAGAGACCAAATACTTTTTTGTTATTTTTACACAGAATAATTTGTTTTCCATTGAATTCTTGAAAAGATTCAGATGTGTATTTTTGGCAAAAAAAAAAGCCATTTTGACTGAGAAGGAGAAATGTTTTCACAAAAAGATTTCAACCAGCAATTATCCACACATCAAAGACAGGAACAATTGTCAAGTATGAGACTGACATCCCGAAGGAGGGTTACTCACTGACAGCTCCCAAATCCAGTGAGAAATTTCACTTATCCACCAGTGGTAATGGGAGAGGGAGAAGGAGGTTTATACAAAGTTTGGCAGCTGTGGGCAGGAGCTACAGGTAAAGATGAGGCAGGTGGTTTTGGTTGACTTCCGGCTGCTAGGACCAGACATCATATAGCTAAAGGTTCTTTACATAAGGAAAACTAAAGGTTTGTGGATCTAGGATTTGGATATTGTTTCAAGATTACAGCTATAGTAATTCATATAGGATACATGAACAGTACCAAAGAGGGAAAGCTATTGGACCCCTCTTACTATTTATCTGTTAGGTGGTAATCGGGTTCACACTGCAGATGACACAGGAAAAAGATGGTAACTGCTTCAAGGTATGTTCAACCTAAATAGACAAACAATATAAAAGGAAGTCTGGCAAAGGGTGCTGGAACACATGGAAAGCAGGAAGTTTACTCACATGAGCTCCACACCCCACCAGAAGCTTTGCAGCTCCATGTTGCAAAACAAATGTTTATTTTTTCCCCTCTCCGCCCTTTAGCTAGTCCATCACACATCCAACTGCTAAGTCCTCACATTGCTTTTGCAACCAGCATCAACGTTCATTCAGCATTGCGTAATTTTGAAACTACCTGGTGAATGATTCAAATAAAATACATAAAATAGTTTTTAAATATACCATTTACAGGGAGGGGATGGTTAACAGAATAGGAGGAAGGTTAGTGTGAACCAAATATCCGAGGTTTCCTCTGCCCTGGTTTAGTTTAGTTCATTTGAACTAAATGCAAATGAAGGTATAGTAATGCTAACTATAATTCTTAATAACCAAGATTCCACATGGCTGAGAGTAGCTTTTCCCTCAGCTTTGTTCCATACTGCCAGACATGACACCCTCTCCAGCTTAAATTGAAATTATAGTAAGAGTGGAAGATTACATTACGGTTTACATCCTAGAAAAAATATATATTCAAGGTTTTTGTAGTTTAGGAAACCCTTGTCCATAAGGTTAATGTTGTAAGCCAAATTTAAAATATATAAAATATACTGGGCCCAATTCTGAGCTGGTGTAGCTAAGCAATGGAGCTATGATGCTTTTCAGCAGTTGAAGATCTGGTCTACAATATAATTACTGAGAAATCAGAGAAATCTTACCACTGCTCACTTTATAGACTTTTCAAAAGAGTGAAATCAGTGCTAAAATCTCAACTACAAATACCAATAATTCCCACAGGGATAAGAACCTTTGGGAGCTATCACAGTATAAACATTTCATAATAAATAACCCTAAATAAGAGCAAATAGCAATTATCAGCACCAAACAATTAGTGAAGATGACCCTGTGATTTTGATATTTGTTTCATACAACCCACATGCTTTTTCAATGATAAGCTTATTCTGATCACAGGAAATCATGTATATTGTCTAAATGTTTACAAAAAAGTGGAATACGCCCAGGGAGTAGATGATGAGCTAATTCTCCAGCTTCCTTTGGCCTTTTAGAGTTACAGACTTGTGGAGGCTAATGAAGTAAAACCAGAAAACCTGAAATCCATATGATCTCTTTGCCTTTCAGCAGCCTGCTTCCCAGACCTTTGGGACATATTCATCCAAGCACCAAGCACTATATAGGCTTTTGAAATTGCAGCACCTTTCTAAAAACAAAAAAGGAAACTTCGAGCATATTTTCTAGATTCTAAAGCTCAATATAGTAAAATAGCTTTTCAAAACCTGCAGTTTTTTGCATTAGGCACTTTTTTATTAATATTTCATGCCCCTGGTTTAATTTTTCATGAAGTGCATTACTACTGGTAAAACACTAAAAAAAAAAAAAAAAAGCTACGTATCTGTTTATCAGGCTGATAATTACAGAACCCTTTTTTTTACTGTTAGCTAGGAAAAAAGTTAACTAACTAGCTTATGTCTGGTTATGTAGCACTAACTAGATATGTCACTAACTAGATTATATCTGGATATATATCATTCTAAAGCTGAACATCCTCATTTCTGATTTTAATCAAGAATAAGAAGTTTATATCAACCACAAGCCTTAAAAGTATTTTAAGAAAAAAAGCATGTTCATTATACTATGATGGATATTTTGGGAAGGGACTACATTACATTAATAGTAGTGGGAAGCAGATTAATTGAAAATTAGGGTTTAGACTAGTCTGTGCCATTCTGATGCCTTAAGTGCTTTTTTCCTCTTTCTTTAGGATGAAAACATTCCCAAAAATGGAGGCTGAGCAATACAGATCATAGGCCAGCAGATCAGCAGCAAACTTTTTCTACCATCTGGCTTATGGTAACTCATTTTCCTGCCGCCCTCTTCTCTTTTTTCTTCCTCACCAGGCAGACCCGGTCTTTGCCTGAAGCAAATATGTGTCCACGAGCACAGTAAGAAGAGGAAATTATGAACTGTGCCAAACTGAGATGGCAGGAAGTAAAAGCTCCTGGAAGAACAGAAGCGAGTACAGCTAATAAAATAGCTGGCAATGTCCATCATGATGCAGGTCACTGCACCATAATGTCATTCTGAACCATGATAGAAGATTGGTGTATCACATCTGACTCTAATGGATGGTGAATCTGTCAGCAAGCCTGGGGGAGGAAGAAGCAGGAATTAAGTGGCAATGACCTTTGGGTCAAGCATTTCCTGGCATAGAGGCTCCACCTGCACTTCCAAAGAAGCTGTGTTAGACTCTTTAAACATGGCACATGCTGACATGATTTAAACCCTTTTATTCTGCCTGACTGGTGTCGACCAAACACTATAAGTTTATAAACAGGGCTTAACAGACATTTTGAATTCTCATTGTCTTCTAAGGCCTCTCCCTTGAGTGTTAAACCAAATTAGAAAATCTGGTGTCCAGGTAGACCAGTGTACAACACAGTAGGGTAGACAGTGGGAAAGAATATTTAACACTGTAGTTGGAGAATATGGATAAATATCGTTCTGAAACACAGGGAAGATTCAACTATGTTAAAAATTAGACAGTTTGTGCTGGAGTTTATTGCTCCTGGGCACAGCTTTTACATTTGTGCCTGGGACCACAGCACACTGAGCTGGGGTGGCACAGCCACATCTGGCAGAGGATCCTGAGGAGTCAGCCTGCCAGCCCAGAACTGATCCACCCTGGCTCAACAAGCTGCAGAAGGGTTGCCTGGGGCATACGGGTGCTACAGTGTGGGTCTACCTGGCAGGCAGTCCCCACGCATGTAGCGCCCTTGTGCCCTAGCCAGCCTAGTCACCATCTACATGTGCGTTTCACCACATGTAACTACTCTGCTGTAGGACAGCACTTCTGTTGGGCAGTACTGTCCTACTGCCCAACAGAAGCTGAGTTAATTTGTTTACTGTGGCTTAATAGCGCCACATCTGTAGATGGTGATGCTTTACTGTAAAGCTAATTAATCAGCGCTGCAGTAAAGCATCTCATATAAATGCACCCAGTTTAAAGCAGTTTAGATCATTAATATGAGGTCTAAATGAGTGGCAGATGGAGCTGGTGGCTTTAGATGCTTGGTCCAAACAGCCATTAGTTGCCAGAAAATGTCTTACCCTGTTCTAGTTTTTCCTGATATTATAACTCACAAAAGAGTGACAAAAATCAATTAAGGAACAGATCCCAATCTCTTATACTGGTATCATTTTAGAGAATCTGTACTTAAGTCAGTGGCATAACAATGATTAGAGTATGTCCCAATATTTTGGAGTGCTGAAAAGTTAAAAGTTGAGCTCCATATTACCATGGATATAATGTTCTGATTCCCATCCTGGACTTTACCTAGCTGCTAAACCTGAATTGTAACTAATACAGGAAAATGGGGTTTCATTCTCAAAATTCCAATGAGGTTATAAGCACCCTTAGTAGCCAAACATCCCTTTGCAGTGATTATGGCTATGATCTCACCCCACTAAGCCAAGCACATGGAGGAATAAGAAGAGAGAATGTGCACCTGACCAGCACTTTTAATTCTTTGTTAATCATGGAAAATGTCATGAGCAGGTAGGAGAGAGAACAGGACTGAGTAATAGCATCTTTATAAAACAGTTGTTATAACCATGAGAAATTAGTATTTCCACTTATATTGTGAGACCAAAATTGCACTTAGAGTGCTAATTAATTATTCATAGTTGACTTTTAACTAAGTTCACTATAGGCTTACTAGTCAGGCTAATTCTATTTAAATAAGAAAAATGTACTTGTTAGTGACTCGGTAGTTATTTCTCACATAGGCTATCCATTTGAGAATACAGGGCATTTGTCTATATTGTTTTACTGTTACTTAAAATATGTATTGTCTTTATATATTTATACATTCATAAATAATATTTCCAAATAAAGTATTCATTGATATGGCTCCAAGTGTAGTGGGAATCTGAAAATCCTGTATTAGTAACCAACTTTATACTTAGGAGGAACTAGCACCCAGAGGTCTTCATAACAATTCTAAACTTCCAATATAGCAGACAGCATAAGTAAAAAATGATTCCCTAGAAATTACAACAAAAAGGTCGCTAATGCACTGGGATTTACACCTTGTTGAGAAGTTGTTTAAAGGGACTCTGTCAAGACTGATAAATCAGGGATGTGATCTACTGTCTCTGTATCTCTTGTGGCACTTTGTAAAGTACTGTAAATGTAATTATTTATCTGGTTTTCTAAAAAGCTAATGAATGTTGTTTCTTGTAAACATTAATTAATGACTGCAGGCAGTTGAGAGCTTATGAAAATCTCCTGGTTTGTAAGCCAGTGCACTCCTACAATGCATTTTTGTAAAAAGTTTACTAGTTTTACTTTGAAATTTTTATTAGGTTTTTTTATCAAAAGCAGTAGTGAGATAAAATGATAACATTAAAAAGATGCAAGAGAAGTTGGCAATAACTTTTAAATGTTAGGAAGAAATATTTAAAAGATATTAAATGGAGTTCTCAAAAATATAAGCAGAGGTGAGACTCAGTCTTCATGGAAGTCAATGGGAGTTTTACAATAGATGTCCATGGGCATATCTTCATGTTGCCATATGGTGATGTTGCTACAGTGACTTGGAAGTACTAAAGCATGGTGCAGTATGGGTGGTTACTGCACCATGTGCACAGCATACAGTTAAATTTCACGAGTACTTCACCATAGCAGCGCACTATAATGGGGGAGCATGCTGCTATGGTAACATAGCTGCTGATCAGGTGTAGAACCACAATTGCTACATCGCTGTCACATGCTGTACAGTGATGCAGCACATTGCTATGTTGCCATACGGTGATGTGTAGATGTGCCCTATGAAATCAGAACTAGGACAACATTGAGGATTCTTGGAAATCTGACTTTAACCCTTATGAGCTGCTTAATAGGGTTTGCTGAACTTTCACACTGACATGAAACAATATTTGCTTAGCTTAGTTCAACTTTTGTTGTGGTCCAAACTCACCAAAGTATAGGGAAATTTGTAAAAAAATTGGTGCTGCCTAAGACCCTTCCTTAATAAACTATTAGTTTCCTTATTTATAGGTGTCTTCTGGTTAGGCCAGTGATCAGTCTTCTCAGTTAAGAGGGCAACAGATAGAGTCACTTTCTTCACATCTCTTTGGTGTGAATACAACTACTCCTCACTTAATGTCATAGTTACCTTCCTGAAAAATGTAACTTTAAGTCAAATGATGTTAAGCAAATCCAGTTACATCACAGTAGTTACCAACTAGCAGGCAGTGGCCAAACAACATTATAACCAAACACTGCATGACTTTAAACGAGTATGTTCTCTAATAGATCGGCAATGTAATAACAAAGCAACGTTAACCAGGACAATGTCAAGTGAGGAGTACCTGTATCTTACCACTCTCGTTCTGAAGGTGTGAAACCAAGACTTTCCTCTCAGGTCCTATTTCTGCTGTCACTTCAAAGGGTTTTTCCCTCACTCATTCTGGTGTTCTGGTACATGTCCCAAATAGACCTCAATGATAGGGACTCCTCCAAAGATTGCTACTTTAGGTTACTTCCTCCCCTTATCTGGCACAAGGAACCTCAAGACAAGGCAGGGGGCCTAGGAAAGTCAGAATAAAATAGATGCATTTTGTATGGAGTTGTTCTACTTTTGCTTAGAGCTTTTGAATAGAATCCTGTTCCTATGGAAATCAATAAAAGT